TCCCCCGAAGCAAACAAAGTCGTCCAAGCCAAGAGGACTTCCCAGGTCTCATACATGGTCTGGAGCTGAGCCCATGTCTGATGCACCTACACCGTCAGAATACGGGTATCCCCGAAGTGGATCAGGTGCGAAGAGGAAAAGAATCATCAAGAACAAACTCGATGCGGCTATCCGGAAAGGCGAAATGCCAACCCATTGTGTAAACTGCGGAGAGATCGACACAGTCACATGGAGGAAAGCTTATACACGTGTGGAGAAAGGCTCGCCCAAAGACATCGAGCTATCCACTGACTCAGCTGGCACCGACATTATCGCATATGAAGTAATCGAACCGACATCTGAGGATGGCGAACTAAAATACCGCATCTTCAAGAACAACCTGACGCGCGAAGACAAGGACATAGTAGCTGCAAAGTCCTCTGATGCGTTCGAGGAGCTCAATTTGTGCAACCCATGTGGACTCTGGCTTATCAAGAAGTTTTCGATGAGACCGCAGAAGGTGTGGGATAGAGCTGCGCGCCTCGCAAACCGAAAGAAGCAGCAGAAGGTAGCACGCTCTAAGTCTATGAGCGGTGGTGACGATCTCATGTCTGACGCTGTCTTGCCTGAGTCTGAACCTGCCATGCCTGCTGAACAAGAGCAGAGTGCTTCATCTATCGATAGGACTCATGACGGGACGATGGCACCACCAGTTGTTGCGCCTAGCGCGCGTGGACTTGATTCTGAAGCTGCACAGGCTGCTCTGGAACGAGCCCTTGAGTCCAGCCCTGTCGGAGTAAGAGGAAGCAAGGCATCTCCCATCGAAATCGACCAAGATCTTACGCCGAAGCCTACAAGGCGACTGCTTTTTCCTTCACCTAGGAAGCAAGGTCGGCGCAAGACTCTGGCTGAACCACCACCTGCCCCTGTCACTGAGCCAATCGCCACTCCAATGTACCTCCCTGACGATGACGCACCTAAGAAGCCCCGTTGTCAACGATGCAAGGAGCTCAAGAGAGGCTGTGACCGTGAGCGACCATGTGGCCGTTGCGAAAACGCTGGTATAGGTCACGACGGCTGCATTCCATGTGTGACAAAGCAAACGTATTGGTTCGAGCAACCTGTGGTGCAAGTGGCTACCGTTGATCAAGAAAACCCTGACAAGGAGAACTGCCCGCCTCCTACTGCAGAGGCAGATGACCTGGCCCATCTTTTCGAGGATTCTGCCCCGCCAAAGACTACGCCGAAGAGCACACCTAAGAAGGACCAAATAGCCCAAGACCCCTTGAAGACCCCTACTCCAAGCACGCGCAAACGCATTGCCCTGACACCGAGGCGAGGTGCAGGGAACGGAGATGCGCCTTCGACGCCATCCCGTAATATCCTGACTCCTCGTACCACACGTGCGGCAACAGCTGCACCCGACACACCGTTCACCCGTCAACTCAACGCGCTGTTATCTGACCACCCAATCTCGTCACCTTCCCAGGCTATTGATTTTTCAGCCTTCCCTACATTCACCACGCCCGGTCGCACTGATGCTCAATTTAGCGAGTTTTTGCCTGACGACTTTCTTTCCAGTGATATGCCTGCGAGCAGCTCGCCATCGAAGAACGGCTCGCTGGGGCTTGGTTTTGACCTCTACGAAGATCCAAACACGTCTACTGTGGGATTATGGAGTGGAGATAACATCTTCGACAACGAAACCATGATGTTGGACATGAAGAATGGCTCCAGGCGCGGTAGTGTAGATGGAGATGACGGACCAGATGCCGCTACGTTGCTCAAGATGAACGTCGGCGGTATGACTGTTGACTTTGCCGCCATGATTGAGGAAGTTGTTGGTGCTGCCAACAAAGAGGCAGACCCGACCAAAGCCACGAGTAAATACTCAGAAAAGGATATTAAGCTGGAGCCTGAGAGTCCAGAGGCTGAGAGTGAAGGCGCGGGCAAGACACCCGACGAGCCTACGGTTTGAGGCTTAGGACTTATCACGGCGTTACGATTCTACATACCCATCACTCTGATTACCAAGGCGTTTAGCGATCTGCGTATTCATGGCATGAACAAACGAGGGATGATCAATTTTGTATACTAGTTCTTACACATCTGCTCAGAGCTTATGCTCAGCAGGCTGTTCGCAAATAAGCGCGATTCACGTCTTTATATACCCAATAAACAGCTTAGACTATACCTGTTCTTCCTTCATTCCGCTCTCCTTGTCATCCAATCTTCTGGCTCTACCCACCATTGCAGACTGAACATGTCTCCCGAACTGTTGTGTTTGTTCGATTAGTGTATGTCCGCAGAGAGTATATGTGGCGTTGTAGAAGTTGTACATTACGCCGTGTGGGGGCCGAGAATGTGAGGTTGTAAACGAAGCCGTTCGATCTTCTGATAGACTGTACTTGGGTTACAGAGTTTGTGGTAGGTAAGTATCGGTATTTTTGTGAAATGGGTAGCCGCAGAGTCTTGATAAAGCGTTGAGGATGTGAAGAACAGCTTGGGGTGAAACCTACTAAAATTCAGTGTAGGACGTCTTTGCGGAGCAACATTCATCTAGTAATAGACGACCCCTTTACAGTCACGTCAATCTCACGTAAGGTTCAGAGAATATGACAGTAGACCTCCGCGTCTTGACAGCTTGCTCACGAGGTTGAGATATTGGACATTGGGGTAGCGTTTCGAGAAGCTCGTACAATTGCTTTATGTTCGTCGTTTCGCCGTGATGTAATACTCACACGTCGGCACTGATGTATGGAAGGTTGTTTAGCTGGCGTAACTATAGACACCTTGACATGGCTACAAAGTACAGTTTTGACACGATTGACAAATTGTTGTGAACCGTGAGTTTCTCTGGAAGTCGGGCATACAATATGATGGCTCCAACTAGGTTGAGGTAATGAAACCAAGGTTCGACGGGAAACGAAAACAAGGCGGGGTGGAGGTCATTATGGTCGGCTTCAAATATGTTTCAAGCAAGAACCATCCCGGACAGACGCACAATTTGCAGTCAGACGATGACAAGGGGTCTTACTGATAAATATCGTATAAGTCGTTGGTATGTGAAGGTTGAGCCACGTGATAGCGTTGCGCAGTCGCGTTTGATGACGTCAGAGTCCTGGCAGATTGTGCTCTTACCATCGATCGCGCATATACGCTCATTCGCCATCGACAACTACACATCGACACCTACGAAGTAATACATATACGCAAGAAGGGACACACGGGAATGCAGTTCAGTATGATTTATTCGTTTTGTTCGAGCGTTGGCTCTGAACTAGTGTCTCTATAAGATACGCTGCAAGAAAACATATGCTACCATCGTCCAATCATCACTGCTTTCAACAGCTTACTGCGACGAGCCACCAGAGATGGTCAGGACCTGGCCGTTAACCCAACCGCCGTCCTCTGAAGCGAGGAACGCAACGACCCTGGCAACATCCTCAGGTACCGCACACCGTCCGAGTGGGCAGTGGTTTGCCATAAGGGTCTCGATCTTCTCCGCTGGCCAGTCAGGCGAACCGCCAGGGATGTAATGCCATGCATTCTGTGTGAACATGTCTGACTTGATTCCACCAGGTGCGACACCGTTGACGGTGATACCGCGCTTTCCGAAGTCGGTCGCAAACGCCTTGATGAAACCGATAACAGCCATCTTAGAGGCATTGTAAAGGGCGTGGTCCTTTACACCGAGGAGACCAGCTGCGATGGAGCTCATCAGAATGATGCGGCCGTTGTCCTCAATGTGCTTGTACGCGGTTTGGCCGACGAAGAACTGTGCTCGTGTGTTCAGGTTGAATACGTGATCGTACTTCTCCTCACTGATCTCCTCCGTTACGTCCCAACTCTCAGTTCCTGAGTTGCTCATGACGATGTTGATCTTGCCGAACGCCTTCTTCGCCTCCTCAAATAATCTGTTGATCTCGCTGACTTTGCTGACATCGGCCTTGATGGCTATGGCTTTGGCTCCGTTGTTGAAGCCCTTGATGATTTCGCAGACCTCGTTTGCTGGGCCTTCGGATGAGACGTAGTTGACGATGACGGAAGCACCGCGCTTGCCGAGCTCGATGGCGCAGCCCCTTCCAATACCGCGACCGGCACCAGTGATGAGAGCGACTTGTCCCTCAAGAGAGGCAGTGGGCACGTTGATGACCATTTTGATAGTCTGTAGGTATTTAGGTGGGTGTAGATGAGTGTGTAACGAGATTGGAGACTTCAAGGTATGAAACTTAAAGCTGTTGAAATGCTAACGTGAGAATGAATTGGGTATATTGATTATGTTTCTCATGTTATACCACCTCTTTATAACCGTCTTTGCTATTCGGTCTCAAACGATGGTCTTCACGGTAGGCGGCCGCGGGCGGGGATCCGAAGAAACGAACACCGAAAATAGCTGCTTCAGGGACCTGCGGCTCTACACCTTCGCGCCCGAAGCTCTGGTCGTTTTAGCTACACACAGCTAAACCTCCCGGTAGACTCTGCAGTCCCGTTTCAAATGTCGTTGACGAAGTGCCGGCTGTTGTACGGACGTCGGAAGGAGGAGGGGCCACGGTTGTCCCCCGAGTGAGGGTGTTGAGACCTGCAACGGAGATGCGAGAAGAAGTCCGACATGGCAAATACTTCAAACTGTACCAGCAGCACATTTCAGAACTTCCTGTGTTCCTGACATGTACGACTTGGGTATCTCAGGTTCCGCTGGTCGAGCCCTGATCGTCGGCACGATGCAGGGAGCGCCAGCGGATCTACCCATGGCGCAGGTACCGTTGTCGATGGGACACGGACATTGCCATCAACCTGCAGCGTTCGTCAACGACGTTGGAGGCCGTTGGAGGAACGGCCATGCGAAAACAAATCTAAGAGCGCAGAGGTGTTGATGCAAAGAATGAGGCGGTGACTGCCTGCTGCGGGATTCGGACTTATTGGTAGCGCGCATCACTGTCTGCCCCTCTGCATCTCTCGATCTCCAATCTACAACACGTTGTTACCAAACTCTGCATCATCGTCCCTCATAAGTCATCATGCATATTCTTGTGAGAATACCATATCTGACTGAGCCAATGGCAGACGCTGATAGCCATAGGTCACCAACGATGATGGTCCACCATCAGATCAGTCCTCGCCCTACGTACATTCGCTGGTGTCAACACTACAGAAGCATGGGCATACCGTGTCAGTCGTTCTCCCGCATACACAGAGGTCATGGATAGGCAAAGCACACCTTGTGGGCAAATCCGTATGTGATACGAGGCCACCTCTACTATCGATCATTATTCTCACTGCCCCAGATACAACCGACATACTACCGCCCCGCGCCCCTCCAAACAAACGCTGAAGGGCGTCTCACGAACCATGGCACAACGCACAACTCCCCTCTGCCATCCTCGTCGAACGAAGAAGAATGGGTGCTCGTCGACTCGACGCCTGCTTCCTGCGTACAGATCGGTCTCTACCACTACTTTTCAGACCGCGGCCCGATTGACCTCGTAGTCAGTGGCCCTAACTACGGTCGCAACAGCACTGCCATCTTTTCCTTATCGTCGGGCACAATTGGTGGCGCAATGGAGGCAGCAGTATGCGGCATGAAGTCCATCGCCCTCTCGTACGCATTCTTCGACCGCAACCACGACGCCAAGATCATCAGCGATGCCAGCGAGCTCAGCGCTAAACTCATAAAACATCTGTGGGATCACTGGGATGCAAATACCCACCTTTACACCGTCAACGTACCGCTGGTTGAGAACGTTGGAGAGCGCAAGATCCTATGGACGAACATGCTGCAGAACTCGTGGAAGAGCGGAAGCTGTTTCCAAGTCGTCGAAGTACCGTCCGAAGCTGACGACACACCGTCAGACATTGAGGGTCAGATACGCAAACAAGAGGAGAAGTTTGGGAAGAAGGAGCTGAAGGCGAACTCTGAAATACAAGGTGGAGTGTCGGGCACAGACAGTGGGCGAGAAACGCCTTCAGGTCAGGCCCATATGCGGTATACACACAAGCACTTCAAATGGGCACCGACTTTCAAAGATGTGTATGAGAGTGTTGAGGCCAGTGAGCCCGGCAATGATGGATGGGCGGTCGCGCAGGGCTTTACCAGTGTGACTCCACTACGGGCAAACTTTATGCATGTGAATGGGTTTGAGGGAGAAATCAAGCTGGGTGCGGGGGCTTCGTAGATTTGAATCTCGGACAAGACGATAAACCATTATGGCCAAGTGAATGTCTTGAGCTTTCAAACTATCCTTCGAATCCACGGCGACTGAGTCCACAAACCAGTTATACTTTGAATAGGGGTTGTTTTGTGAATGTGGAAAACAAGTTAACACTTCACTTGCAAGAAGTAATATCTGACCAAACTCGGGCAGTGCCATTTGGAATAGGCAGAGTGCCATATTGGTCGTTATATCAGGTTAGTATTATGTCTAGTTGTAGTCTTTTACAAACACTTCCTGGATATGCTGGGGTATCAAAATGATTCCAGTACGCCGTCTCAACGTAGTACGCCACCCATATCCTTATGTTACCCAAAGGCGCTGTCCAGCGCTTCAAAGCCGTAAATAACGCCATACGCATAAAGAACAAGCTACTCAAAATTGAAGAACGCATCATCGAATTGCGACTGCTCAGGGTTCTCGTACTCGTCCATATTGAAAAGATCTTCGAGGTCGTCTGTAGCCATGGTGCCCATCATCTCGTCATTTGTAGTCGTAATCGATTCTTCCTTCTTCTCTTCAGCAGGTGGCTCCGCGGCAGGCTTGGACTCCTCCACCTTTGGTGCTGGCTCTGGTTCTGCAGGCTTCGCAGCAGTCGCGTTGTCGTTTGTGTTCGTATTCGCCTCGGTGTTCATGTCTAAGCCTGGCAGGTCTGGCATGGTGAAATCAATGTCCATATTCGAAGTCTGGTTCGGGTTGTCGTCATCATTATCCTTGGCGAAGTCCTCGAGACCGCGTAGTAGCGAAGGCCCGTCGTTCCCGTCGTCGAGGGTAAAGTCCATGTCGCCCGAAGTGTCCATCATATCGTTGTGGGTGTTGTCGCCAGTCGTGTCCATGGCGTCGCCGAACATGGCATCGAAGTCAAACTCGGATTCCTGAGCATTGCCGGTGGTGGGCGTGCCGTCGAAGAGCGGATCTCTTTGCGGCTCCATGTCGGTCTCAATGGGCGGGGGTAGTGGCGCCTTTGTGTCTTCTTCCTTCTTAGGAGCCTCGTCCGCCTCAGGCCCAGGCTCCTTTGCGCTCGCTAGCTCAGGCGCGTCCTGCGCTGGCTCTGCTGGTGGCTCGGGCGGTGCTGGCGTCGCGGCTTTTTCAACCTTCACAGGCGCTTCCTCAACTGGGACCGGCGCACTCTTTGACTCTGCGGCAAGTCGCGCCTTCTCCACCTCGTGCTGTTTCGCTGCGGCCTCCTTCTTCTTGCGATCTTGCTTGAGCAGCGCCATGTCCCTGCGCAGGACGGTTTGCGCTAGACGGACCTCGTTCTCGAGCTCGTCGAGCGCATCGTGGAAGCGCTCAGTAGCGGATGGCACGAGGTGCTGCAGTTGTTGCTTCATGCGACCAGTGCCGCCGCCGGCCTGTTGTTCTTTCAGAAAGCGACCAGAATTGAGGTAGACGAGGTTGAGCATGGTCTGGAGTGTCTCCATATGCTGATTGGCAGCCATGACGCTGGCCATGATGGGGTATGCTGTGATGAGGTGCGGAGCGCGACAAGGTACGAGGCGCGTCAATGTGATGGCCGGAGCTGGCAGCGGGACTGCAGGTGCAGGAGGGTCCGCTAGCTTCTCAGGCTAGCGGTACGGTACTACGTTCATAGCTCCCGCTCTTTCGGGTGCCTTGTGGCCTGCCGCGCTAATTCTTCGACCCTCGCCCGCTCACCTCTCACACCTCTCCTTCTTCACCCCACAGTGGAGATTATAGCTTTGCCGTCACAGCTCGGCGCAGCGTTCGTCTCTCCTATCTCTCTTCCTCTTGTTTTCCCTTGCCTTTCCTAGTGCAGTCCGCTCTCTATTGGTAGCATTAGTCGCGCTTTCCATTTCGACTTTCCTTGCCGCCTACCCAGCAGCTTTCACCCCGCCCGCCAGCGTCGACCCTCCCCGTGGCCTTGTCGCCTTCACCTCGACCGTCGCATCACCGCCCACTTGTTCGATACCCGCAGCCGTCACTTGCGCCTCTTGCGACAATTGTCTTGTGCGCCTCTTCGCGACGACAGCCATGGCCGACCAACAGAACCCCGGGGCACAGCTCCCTCCTCCCCCTTCCGCTGGCGCTCCCGGCTACGAGAACCAGGGCCAACCGCAGCAGCACATGCCGCCGCCGCCGCTTGCACCCGTCATCATCCCCCAGAATAACAACCCCATCCCGACCGCCATCAGCTCGCCCATGTCGGGCAACCCCATGTCCCCGACCAGCGGCCAGCCTGGCTACGTCCCCCGTCGCGCCGCCCCCGAGCCCAACAAGCGGGCGCTATACGTTGGTGGACTGGATCCGCGGGTCACCGAGGACGTGTTGCGTCAGATTTTCGAGACGACTGGCCATGTGCAGAGCGTCAAGATTATTCCAGACAAAACTGCAAGTTCTCCTTCTGTAAGATAACACTCCGCACCCGCTGCATGACTTGACAGCTGGCCGGGCCTATCTTGCATATGTTGCAGCATTCAAGTGCCGCTGACCGCTAACAGTTCAACTCCAAGGGCTTCAACTACGGATTCGTCGAGTATGATGACCCCGGCGCGGCTGAGCGTGGTATGGCCACTCTCAACGGCCGGCGCATCCACAACAACGTAAGCTTGGCCGTTGGCACAACCACTTACTTTTCTGACTCGCACAGGAAATTCGTGTGAACTGGGCCTACCAATCTAACAACACAGCCAAAGAAGACACTTCTAACCATTTCCACATCTTCGTCGGTGATCTGTCCAACGAGGTCAATGACGAGGTTCTCCTCCAGGCTTTCTCTACCTTTGGTCCCGTCTCCGAGGCCCGCGTCATGTGGGACATGAAGACAGGCAGGTCGCGTGGTTACGGATTCGTCGCCTTTAGGGATCGCGCCGATGCTGATCGCGCCCTTAGCTCCATGGACGGAGAGTGGCTTGGCTCTCGCGCTATCCGCTGCAACTGGGCCAACCAGAAAGGGCAACCTTCCATTTCTCAGCAGCAGGCCATGGCTTCCATGGGCATGACGCCGACCACCCCGTTCGGACATCACCATTTCCCCACCCATGGCGTGCAGAGCTACGATATGGTTGTTGCTCAGACGCCCCAGTGGCAGACCACATGCTACGTTGGAAACCTCACTCCTTACACCTCTCAATCTGACCTAGTGCCGCTTTTCCAGAACTTCGGGTATGTCACCGAGACGCGTTTCCAGTCTGACCGTGGATTTGCCTTTATCAAAATGGACACTCATGAGAATGCTGCCATGGCCATCTGCCAGCTGAACGGCTACAACGTCAATGGCCGTCCTCTGAAGTGCAGCGTAGGTTGAACCGTTCTCTTTTGTTTTATTTCTTAGCTCACATTTCCAATCTAGTGGGGCAAAGATCGTCCTCCGACTGGCCAGTTTGAGGGCTACTCGCCTGCAGGCGGTCCCAACTCAGCTTATCCTCAGACGCCGAGCGCGTACTTTCCTCAGTATGGTGGTGGGCCACAAGGTGGTCCCATGTCACCCTCAGGTGAGCGGCACCGGAGGAAGCTGCAGTATCGAAACAAGCAATCTAATGCGCGGGCAGGACCCAGCCCCGGCGGACAACCCTTCGCGCAGCAGCAGCAAGCCTTTGGCAACCCTGGCATGCCCTACCAGCAACAGATGCAGCAGCCAGGCAGCGCTGGTGGCTATGGCCGCGGCGCTCCCCAACAGCCACAGTGGGGCCAGTCTCCTCAGGCAGCATTCAACCAGAATGGCTTTGGAGGATACCAGGGCTAAGCACCCTATTTGTTAAGATTTGTTCCGTTCAGCCCTGTGCCCTCTATTGTTCCAACACGCCTGTTGTTTACGGGGGCGCTATTTTGGATAGCTCCGATTTCTGGTCATATCTCATCAGCTACTTGGTCTTATGTTCTTAGGGAGTCGTTATTTAATTCCGTTGTCCAAAATGGTGCGAGCGTTGTTGTCTTATGGCATGGTTGGCACATTTCTTGTGGGATATGGTTTACGGTCGTTTGGTTCAAAATGAATCTCCTATCTCGTGTTAGTTTTCTGTTGCTACAGGCTTCGGCTCTGATTACCCCTTCACTATCTATTATGACGTTGACTCTTCTTGCGAATTCTCTTCTTGATACCAAAGCGAATTCTTATTGATACCAAAGCGGGTTCTGGTTGATACCAAAAGCTTATTTCTCGCGGCGTATGCTGGTCGTCGCTGATGGGTTGGAATAGTATGTTGACTAGCATAGTACTCATGATGAATTACTTGGTAGTCTGGAGGCGTAATATATTGATATGAGACTTTGAAGCAGTAACCTTGGGAGCGTGTTACATGATTCTCTCGTGAGTTGTAAGACCTGCACTACGTACTACGTACGTCATAGAGTTGCACTGACAGGTACCTGAGTGTGGCTTAGTCCATCAGAGCGTGTACCTGCGTCAAGATGCTTGGGTCCTGCATGTCCTATCAAGCTTTGTAGATACACCGCAGAAACACCGTTGGGATGCCCGCACGTGATGGACTGCACTAGCGCTTCCTGATTGAGACGTCGTGTCGCGTTTTGTGGGTCCGAACACTAATTGATGCTAACATTCACACCCCACCGCGCCGCAGGGTATGCAGACACTCGACATCATCTCGCTAATCCTTTCTTTTTGTCGGCGCTCTCCTTGTTTGCTGTATGCTTGTCACTCTCGGGAAGAGAGGTGCGTCGCTTAAACCGTACAATCCGAAAAGGTCGTCGCTCTTTTGCATCCATCCCGCTCGGACGCATTCGCCTCCAACACGGTCCCTTACGCACCTTCCTCGTACGCGCTTCTCGACATCACCTCTGCAGCCGCCGAACACTTCGCCTACAACCTCGCCTCGCCACGACTTCGGCTACCTCTCCTCTCGCTCCCACACAACAACTACCATGTTCAAGTCGGCGGTGCAGAACCACAATGCCATCGCGTCTGCTTCGCCCACAAACACTGCCTACAAACAGGCTTCGCTCGGAAGCGTCCTTGATCGCACTGGATCGCAGACATCATCGACGCGTCC